ACTTAACATTTCCAAAACACGTATAATTTTTTGGAAATAATTCGTATAAACTACGCTATAAAAAAAAATTGTAGGATTACTTACCGAGCGTGCACCGTTCGACTACTCCGTTGCTCAAGCTTGTTTTTGTCGCGTAGCAGCGCACTAAACTGCGGCCGCGATTTCTGATAAGTTATTTTTCTGCGAAAACTTCGTTGAACTTTGGAGACATCATTAATATAAATAATTTTTATGGCCGTTGAATAAGAAATGTATATAATTACAGTACTGTATTAGACTTACGGTACCTAATTTACATACTGTACAGACGATAGCAAACTCAACTTACCCGCCTAAACTCTCCGTAGCGTGGCGCTAGATGGCGGAAAGTATATATATATAATTATAATAAAGTTACAATAAATTAAGTTAATATATAATTATATATACAGTACCTAATTTATATATAATTTATATATAATACTGTACAGACGATAGTAATCTCTCCGTAACGTAGCGCTGGACGGTGGAAAGTAGTTCGGCTGCCCGATGACGTTTTACTGAATTATAAAAGTTTTTTTTACCTTTTTTTATGGATACAGTCGCAATTTTTTCGCCGTCATATAGGAATCCGGACTATGGGAACCCATCTTATAGGGTGGTCTACTGTATATAATATCACGCTTCTTCCTCACCATGAAGGCCACTTGATGTACAATACTACCATTAAAATTGTTTTGTCAGTAAGGTACTTACGTTTTGACAGTTTCTTTATTGTATTTTTAGTACATTCAATGCAAATCAAATGCCAGACCACGAAAAGTGTGTACATTCAGAAAAACTATTTGAATTCTTCCAAAATTCTTCTTGCGCTAATGTATAAAATGCAAAGAGTTGAATAATAAATGAATGGGCATGTCAATAATAGTACTTTCTTATTGCAAAGATTATATGTATATTAACCTAAATAATGTATATTAATGCTAGAGTTGAAAGTACTGTCGGGAAATTATTAACGTTATGCACACTATTAAATAAAAATATAAAAGCAAGTAATTTATAGGCTTTTTCACGTGTTTTAATAAAATTCAGGAAAGAAGAAAGAGAAAAGCAAATTCAATTAATTAGAATAATTTTAACTTTTACGTATAACACAATACATAATCAAATACTCGTCTTATTATTAATATAGAAATAATGGTAAAAACAATCATCTCTCTAATGTGTGATAATAGTATGGATATCGCATCCGTAGGAAACCTGTACATTTCAGCTTGGTTAATGATTATTTACAGTTATCAATTTATATTTTTGCACATCTTTGTCAATAGATGGAAGCAGTTGACAGTAAAACAAGCTTAACCTTACAACAATGGAGTAGTCAGCTGCAGCGCTATCACTTAGTTGTGGAGAAGAAGCGTGGGAAATTTTTTATGAATTTTCCCACACGTTTTTCTCATTTTCGTTCCGGAAAATTTTTTTAAACAGTTACGTCTAATAAAAAATTCATTCTTTATTGTAACACAATTCTTTTTTATGTGAATTTTTTTCGCGGTAATTTTCGCCTAAAACTTTTTTTTCAAATTTATATTAAATTGTTCTATAATTTTCTATCCATTACGACTTTTTCAAAAGTTTTGAATTTATTTTTAATTTTATATAATTTTTTAAAGTTTCAGGCATTTAAGTCATGATGACTTTTTTCAACCTGCGAATCAAATTCATGAAAATGTAATTGACAGTTAACGAATTTCATTTATGACGTAACGGTTATGTTTACAACCACGACACCTGGCGGCCTTACCCCTGGACTGTAAAGTGGGTGAAGGTCGTTTCGTGTTCTACTTTCTGTAGAATTGACGTAATCATTGTAAATAAAAAAATTTCAGTATATCTTTTATTTAATTTTAAAATTTGTTGTTCAAATTTACACCCAAATATTAAAGCAGGTTAAAATATTAGCATTTGGTAAATATACTTAATTTATGTATAATAAATATAAATAAAATTTTAAGAAAAAACAAAACAACAAAAACATGTGGAAATATTTTTTTATATTCATCTTCAGATTTATTACATATGTTATATTAATTCACTGGTATTTAATTTTAGAACAATATTCACTATATGGCATGCGTCAGAAAATAAACTATAACTTTTGTAAAAGACACTTCCATGAGAGGGTCCTATGCACACCGATGCAAAAAGGCGACAGTCTACGTCACCAATCTAATGTGTGACCTACTTTCTCTAACAGTAAAACGAAGTAAGTTACAGTACAACGGTACTGTAACTTACTTCGTTTTTCGTTACTTCGTTTAGTCTAGATGTATAATTAGTGATTATTATAAACACTAATTATAATAATCAAAACAAATTCTTAATGTTCTTCTAAAATCCTCTAATCGGTCTTTGATATAGTTCTACGCAATAGCAGTAAATCGGTAGACATGTCTAAATAACAAGCTTATAAACACTAAAAAACATAAATGTTTCGAGATTAGAACTAGATAATTATATGCACAAATAAATTAGTAGTCCAATAATACATACTTTCACTTATATCCAAGTATTATATCGAAAGATCTGTTCTCGCTTATTCTCGAAAATAAATTATTTTTCAACTTTTCTTTCTGTAAAGTATCATCTTCTGAAACAAGTTTTAAATTCACAGTAAACATTTCACTTTTTATCCATTAAAAACAATGCAAAATATATCCATCTACGTAATAAAAATTTATCGCAGTGAACTTCGAAAGATAACAAGAAGATGCAAACAACAAACCGCACTGTACGAAATCTGACGCAAACTGATGCCTCTGGGATAAGTCTAGATGACTGTAATGTCACGTGGCATTGAAACTTTCCTGCTAGACACTAAAAATTTTATTAAATTTTTAAATTAATTCGTTCAAATTTAAATAATATAAAATGTCTACATCTGTTTAATAAAGATTAGTAATGTAATACAGTACAGTCCCGAAAACTCGGCACTCGATAATCCGGCACTCCAGATAACTCAGTCACACCCTGGCAGGGCAAAAAACCCCTTAATTAATTAATTTTCATTATAGACAGCTTTATGCCTCATAAAGTATTTTTCTGGGGTCTGTCTTATCAGGAAAATTACTGTACACAGTGTATTCATTAATTTTCATTTTCATGTAGTAAAGGCTCTATGCCTTCATAAAGTACGTACTTTTCTTTTGTTTAAGGGTATTTGGGCAGTTTATTCTCTGTTGTATTCTCAAGGAAAACAATACATACAAGTACAGTACAGTATTTTCTGAGAAAACACTCGTACTTATTTTTTTTAACCCCATTCCCGATAACCCGGCATTTTCACAAACTCGGTGCTCATTAGGCCGAGTTTTCGGGACTCTACTGTATCTCAAATATGCAAATTACATATGAAAACAACACTGCACAAATTCTCTGGCCACGTTAAATCTAAATATAGAACGATCATGTAACCGAATGATAACACTAATATGAAGAAATATGTTTAAAATGTAATGTTTGTGTACAAATTAATAATAATTATTTAATAATGCTTTCATCCATTTTAAGTTGATATTGTAAAAATTAAGCTATTTATTTTGTGTTTGGCTTTTATTATTTAGAGTTTCCGAGTATTCTACTGTAAAATTCAATTTAGTAAACAGAAACAAAGATAAGATATTAAATATAAACAGCACTATACAATAATATTTACGTAAATTGTGAGTGTAAACACAGAAAAAAAACGAATTATATCAAAGCTGACATCCCTCCAACACTGCTTATAAATTCATTTATTGTTATTTTTTTCTACTAAAGATTTACTTGTGTTTTGAATTATTTTATTACATAGACTTTTTTAATGACATTACCTCTGTTTATTGTGATTAGGCATACTGCTCAGTAAGAAATTTATTGAACAGAATTAATTGTGCTATTATTTTTAATTTGACTCGATACAAGGTCAAAGTCTTGCAGGTGATTGATACACCTCATCTCTCCCCGCAGCAGATTCCTGTAACACTGAAGTCATCTTTCTCCTCTCGGTGATGTGATCGCAGAGGTCTTCTGTTGACCTCTGCGGAAAATAAATATCAATAATTCGATTATAATCGCGTTATTTTAAAATGAATAATCTCTAAATACTCAAACTTGACCCAGAAATAATTTAATTTTTTCCATTAGTATTTTTTAAAATAATTTTATAAAGTTTTATAATAGTCTACCATATTTCAACGGTGTATGTTACTTAAATTTTATTTATTTCTCGGTCACGTGATGGAAGAGGTCAACAAAAGAAAGTTTGTACAAATTTTAAACCAATTTTTGGTTTAACCGGTAACAGTTGGGCAAATAAATACAGTCGACCCCCCCTATAACGCGGTAGATACGTTCCGCTTTATAAGAATTTCGCGTTGTAGGAATCCTCAAATACATGAGCCAATCACAGCCCGGCATGTGTGCAGTTTACGGACTACGGCTGTTTGAAAAGTTTTCTTTAATAAAATTAATCGATTCTAGACTAATTTCACCCAACATTTCCAAAAGACGTATATATTTTTTAAGAATAATCCGTATAAACTATGCTTTAAACGAAAAATTGTAGGATTACTTACCGAGTGCGCATCGTTTGACCACGCCATTGCTTAAGCTTGTTTTCGTCGCGGAGCAGCGCACCAAACGGCGGCCGCGTTTTCTGATAAATTATTTTTCTGCGAAAAATTTGTTGAACTTTGGAGACATCATTAATAGAAATATAATTTTTATGGCCGTTAAATAAGAAATGGTTTTTAGTAGGTCCACTGCTCGTTTAAACTCAACGATTTGTGCAATATCCGCTATTGGTCTAGATTCGACCAATCCTGTCGTATAAACGTCATCGCTGACACGAGTCGGCAACGACGTTTTACCAAATTATACGAGTCTCTTTTAGCGTGTTTATACGAATACGGTCGCAATTTTTTTCGCCGTAATATACGAATCCGAATTATATGTACCCGTTTTATAGGGGGGGTCTACTGTATTTCTGTAACCTGTAACACTTCAAACCGGGTATAAATATTAAAAAAAAACAAGTTGAAACGTAAGACTGATACTATGCATAAAAAACATAATTATTTATGTTTTACATAAGTTATAATCTTACAAAAACGTTTTAAACGTAAACTCACAACGTTTAACAGTTTAGTCTATCCATTCATTATGCGGTGTTTCGTAACTAATAAATACTTGTAATTTCATAAAAAAAAGGGTTACACGATTTTTTCATAGAAAACCTAATATATATTTCAACAGAATTTACATCACTGCTCATTTTAAATTCTGTCTACTGAATGATTGAAATAAAATTTGATCACGTAGTTTCGTATAGCTCCAAAGACAGGATGCAACTGTTAGAATCTTCCAGGATGTCCACAATTTCCAATGCAACCAACTTCTCATCTTCACTTCTATTTAATAATTTCCGATTGTCAGACGAATTCATATTGTGTTTTAAATTGGCAAACCAATTAAAATAAATCACCGGGAAAACAAAATAGGCCAACAAAATAAATGTCTACGTTAATTACGTTCATTACTTGAAGGAAATCGATAAAAAGTGAGACAGGTTTTCTGATATCGTATAAATTATTTGAAAACTTTCCCTCGAGTGAGAGAACAAGATAAATCTTAAATTTATTCGTATAACTATATTCTTATTTTTCATATTATTTTTCAAAAGTATTCAGATATTTCACTAATCCATATAAATGTAAATGGAATTTATTATTCTGTAAGAGAGAATAAAGAGGAAATTCACATGCTTTAAGTTTATTTTTCTGTCATTTCTAGCCTTTAAATAACGTTGATTTTCACCATATCAATGGTGGTCAATAGCAATCTTCCACACCTTGATTTCGTTGAGAAAAAGTTATTTTAATTTATATAACAAAAATTCATAATAGTTTTTAATATGTTAATTACACTTCATTTGACTTCTACGGACAGTTTGGTGTATTTTATTTGTTGATTTCGAACATATTTAATAATCAGCTCATACTTAAGGTATTGTCGAAACACTAATTAATGTAAATTGTTTGCTAATTAATCCTGTAACACTGAAAAAGTTCGTCACAGATAAACACGTATAATTTCATAAATGGAGGTTAGACGATTCTTTAATATAAAACCTATTATATATTTCAAAAGAATTCTACATCATCACACATTTTAAATTCAGTTTACTGGCCGACTGAAATAAGATACGATCATGTAAAGTTTCGTATTGCTCCAATGACAGGATACAACTGTTACAGCGTTCGAAATTGTCCACAACTTCCAATTCAACCAATTTTTCGTCTTCACTTATATTTAATGATTTTCGGATCTCAGACGAATTCAAGTTGTATTTTACGTTGGTGAATCTATGTATTCTAAAAAAATTGCCCGAAAAATATTTTACGCCAATAAAATAAATGTCTACGTTAATTACATTCATTACTTGAAGAAAATCGATAATGCGTGAAACAGGTTCTCTGATATCGTATAAATTATTCAAAATCTCTTCATGAAATAATAGAACAAGATAAATCTTGAAATTATTCGTACAATTCCAATGGTTCGAGAAGTTATTTACGTAATCCTCTCGTTTTTCGTATTTTGCGTCAGTCTTGTCGAAATATAAATACAATTTTTTGAACTCATACAAGTTAAATAGCTGTTGATAATCAATCAGCGTTTTCCAATTAATAAATTCCACATTTGAATGAAAACGAAATTGTTCCCAATTTCTTTTATATTTGAATTGTTTGTGAGCGAGGAGAAAGAATTGAGGCGAAAACGTTTCTTTGTCGACATATGTTAAAAACTTTTTGGGTAAAGGTTCATCCTTATATAATCCGATTAAAAATAACAACTCCATATCACGAGTATAATATGGAAAAGAAATATAACCGATATATACACATAAAGCTGTAAGAAATTCGCCAAATGTCCGATGAACAAAACTGTATCTAATGATATTATCGCATTCAGAAAAGGAATCCAGAGTAAGAATGTCCACACCAGTAATGAAATTGTGTTCACTTTCATTCGGAAATAAAGTTTCCAAATCTTGTGATGTGATAACATCTTCGCCTCTCTCTAATCTTCTTAATTTTATAAGCAAATTTTCTCCTACAAAATATTTCCCTTGTTTAAATTTATCTTTTTGATTAGTTTTTCTCACGTAACGTTCAGTTATAAGAGTAAATATCCTAATGTATAAATCAGCCATAGTTTCAAGTTTTTCCATTTCTCCATTTCGATGAAGGCAACACAACATGTGCAGCATCAGAGGACATTCTGATATTTCTCTGTAAAAGTCATTCTTTTTCAAAGCAGAAATCAGTTCACTCGCTTTACTGTCATCTTCTCTAAACATTAATTGAATATATTTTTCTTGATATTCTGAAGAGAACCCCTTTATCGATATCCTCATCTTCATGTCCTCTCTGATCTCTTCCGCCGCTTGAGGTCGACTCGTTACCAAAATAGTCATTGTGCGAGAAATATCGAAAGATTCCTCTCTTATAAATTTTATAATTTTAGATTTATCTACAATCTCATCGAACCCGTCTAAAATCACCAAAACATTCAGTTTTTTATCTATCAATTTCCAATTTTTATCAGTTAACTCATGAATATCACCGAGTAATACATCTGTTACACTTTTATCACCTAATTCTCTTAATATTACAATAAAAGCTAATTGAAAATGTTTTAGATAATTGGAGGATGCCCAATCGTAGGCAATTTTCTTGCATAAAGTAGATTTACCATAACCGGGATCTCCTGTTACTAAAATAGTTTGATGTCCATCTCGTTCTACGGCAAATATCTCATTCAGACGTATTTTATATCCGCTTTCATTTCCAAATAAATCTGCTTTCTCTACAGTTAATTTTACAAAGTAATCCTTTAGTGGAAAATCGTTCCTCCTTCCTTCCCACAAGAAAGATTTCATGTAGGAAAAGTAAGTCACATATTTTTCCTTCAACTTCTGGCAGTAATTGTCGAACATTTCTGTAAGTAAAAAACATTATAATCAAACGTCGTGTTAATTTTTTTATTTTATTTTCGTATTTGTTATTATATAGAAACTTATTTCGTAGTTATGATAAATTTCCTCTATTTGTCTTAGTACTATGATGTATACTAGTGTTGCTTTTAATCTTTCATTTATCGCTGACCGGTAAAAAACACGTGACTGTGGATTGTGCTTATTTATTAAGCTTATAAGTGCTTATGAAGTTACCGTACGTAACAAAGTACGTTCACTAACTTTACATTAATATTTAAATGTTTCTTGTAATCAATTGTGTCAAGTAATGACAAAAATTTTTTGCGGATCTTTTACCAGCGGTTGAAAAACACTGACGTTAATTACTATTTAGATAAAGATTCGTAAAATACGTGGAAACTTCACGAAAATCTCAGTAAGCAGATAAGGATGGAATATGGACAAGTGACTTTCGAAAAGTCGTGATGTACAAATGTCTGTGTACTGAAGTGAATTGAAACAGATACATTCATTAGTTACTCTTAAAAATTTTTACCGGTCTTTCGATTAAACGAAATTTATAAAATACAATTATATAGTACAAGTTTGGGCAAAATGTATAACAGTAAATTAATTAAAGGCATTGATTCTCAGCACAAAAAACAGAGATTAAAGTTATTACGATGTTTTCTTTGTATGTTTATTACTAAGACATGCACTTACCATTCGTATCTTCGTCTTTTTTCTTTAAGCGTCTTGCATTCGGGTTTTCAGAATGAATTTCTATTCTCGGTCCAACGTGAACTTGTGTACAGTTCTTGAACATCGTCGAATATTGATTACAATTCTCAACTGAAATTAATGTTCAATTGAATATAATTTGTACTGAAATATTTAACTAAACAGGAGTTGAATGATAACGAAAAGTTATTTATACAATATAAAAATTTTCTTGCCTAAGATGATAATTCAGATAAACAATTATTTCTGTGTAAAGAATAAATATATCCGTAAATTATTATTAATTTTTAATATTTAGCACACTTTTCGAAATTTTTCATTGTACAATTTTGTTATTTTTGTTCCCAATTCATTTCTAAAAATTTCTAAATAATTACTTTTTTCTATGGTAAGCATTATGAAGATGTTCGTAAGAAACTAATGTAATGTATTGTTAACATTTAGTAAAGTTTAACCATTTAAAATATTATTTTATTCTATCAATTTCCTTTGTGTATTTTATAACAGCTTGCATCGACCACTTTTCGTGAAATCGTTATAAAAGTAAAAAGCTAAGACGTAAATAAATTCTGAAAAATATCTTCCTTTATATCAGCTTTGAAGTTTATTACTAAAAACAGAAAAACTAAAGCATTTACCGTTTAAAAGTTCCTTGAACATACTTTCATTTTGCCTCACTCCATTGCTTCTATCCATTGCCTGTAATTAAATGGCATATTTATTACAGTCTTTTGTCTACAAAATTGTTGTCCAACCGAAATTGTTTGCTGGGCCAAAACCAAAATTAAAAATATACTATGATACGCTTCTTGTCTAGTCTTCTCAATGGTTAGTGAGCGCTAAGATTGGCTTTACTTTACTTCTAGACTTATTACACCACCACAGGACATCAAATTAGTTTTAGAAAAACACTATTTTATTTTCAGAATGCATTTCGGACATTGAGTCCCTCATCAGCTATTTGCTACAAAAATTAATAGGAGGTTAACAATTTTATAAAAAGGCCGTGATTGACATAAATGAACAAAAATGTTTACTTACATTTGACATGTGGGTTCGACGCGTTGAACATTAATTAAAAGATTAAGCATACGATATACAAGATTTCTCGTTAAAAACGGTAATGTTGGTGCAATAACGTAATAATAAACAGAGGTACTGGTAAAACAGTAAAGTTATAAAAATATACATTGTTAACAAAATGATAAGTAAATTCACAGTAACACGAACAGAGTAAGAAGACGATTCGAAGTACATTCCAGGGTGACTGTCACCCTCACCCCTATCCGTTTTCACACCTCTCCCCTCCCCCCACGCCTCCTCTGGTCAAATATGCGTACCACGATTCATGTAATTTTTGGCCAGAGTTATTATTCATGATTTTCTCTTTGTTTTTAATTATTTCTAAGTGTTCGTACCATCTTCTTTTATAAGTATTTGGTTCCTTTCTAAGTATTTTGACAGTATCCTTTACAATCTGACAGCCTTCATTATTACAGTGGGCGGCTACAGCCGAGCTATCATTGTTGTGTGCTATGGCAGAGATATGTTCATTGAAACGGACCTTTAATTCCCTACTAGTTTCACCAATGTAAGATTTGGGTGTGGTACAGTCGCACTCAAATTTGTAAACAACGTTTTTTTGGTCCCATATGTTAGCTTTCCTGTTAGGTACGTTTATTTCCTTATGTAAGCTGTTGCGATGTTCGGGTACCAGAATAATATTATACTTAACTAATTTACTTTTGATTCTTTCAAAAATATTCGTAACGTAAGGAATTTATAAGCAGTACTGTCAATTGGTTGTTTGTGTGCATTAACATATTTTTTATTAAGCCAGTTACTAATCATGCGCTTGCTATAACCGTTCAATAAGTATGTTTTTATGATGTCTTCGATTTCATTGGATATATCGGTATCATATGTGGTACGTTGCATAATTTTATCCAAGTACATGTAGAAAGTATTCTTTTTTATATAAGTTGGTACTTCAGATGTAAAGTGTATGACGCTGTCAATAGTACAAGGTTTTTTATATTTTTTAAAGGTTGTTTTGTCTTTGTGTCTCGTGACGAGAATGTCTAAGAATGGTAACTGACAGTTGCATTCAGGTTCTAAGTCAAATTTAATGTCATTATCTATTTTATTTACGTGTTCCAGAATTTTATCCGCCTGTATGATGTTGTCATCATATATGAGAAAACAGTCGTCGACGTAACGGTACAGTTCTATTATACCCTTGATATTGACAACGTCATGATCGATATTGCACATACTTAATTCAGCAAGGATTGGTCCTATTATTGAGCCCATGGGGATACCATCGCATTGTCTAAAGAATCTTTTTTGGCTGACAAAATAATTATTTTCCAACACAAGAGTTACCATATCTATGATCCATTGCTGACAGTTTTGGGTTTTTAATGTAGCTAATATTCTGTTGCGTTTAATGGACGGATACATGCTGCGTACGTCCAAGGAGGCAATCCTGTAGGTGGGCTCGAACTTTAAAGTTTTGAGTTTTTGTATAAAGTAGTCAGTGCACTGTATGCTATAAGGGGATTTAACGAGGGTGTTTAGTTTTTCTTTTAAAATAAGTTCTAAATTATAAAAGATATATCCTTTTATATCTACCAGAGGTCTATAGGAGACTGGAACTTTATGGGTTTTAACCCTGTAAGAGAACTTGAGTGTTTTGTTTTCACTATTGAGAATAAAATGTTTTTCTGTTTGGCTAATAAGATTTTGTTTCTCAAGGTTAACAATTGCCTTTTTTAATTTTTTGTTAAGAAGGTTAGTTGGATCATTATGCAGTTCAATGTACGTATTTTGATTCAACAGTTGTTTGTAGATGTCTGCGTCTTGCTCATTATTCACAATTATTACTTGTTTTGTTTTATCTGCTTTGGCTATTATTAATTTATTAGCAGTTGAAAAACTTTTTAGGTTTTCTATTTTGTGCCTATACTGGATTAATTTATTTTTTCTATTTTTATTAACTTTATATTTAGACAGTTCGTACTGTAATTCTTCCCTCAAGTTAACTTTCTGTTCCTGTGTTGTATCGGATAAACAAATGATGTTTTCTAAACTGAGAGCCCACACTTTCCTGTCAACAGTGTTGGGACTGTTAAAACTCAAGCCTTTGCTTAGTGTTTTTCTAATATCAATCGGTATTTGGACATTACTTAAGTTGACTATTGTGCTATTCAGCCAGGTCTCTCTTTCTTGAATAGTTGGGTAATTTAGTTTTTTGACAAGTTTCTGGTACTTTTTGTTAAAATAATCCTGATTATTTTTTGTTAGGGGTTCCTTTCTGTTGGTGTTTGAGTCGTTTCTTAGTTTCTTGATTTGTCTAGTGAGTTTTTTAACCCTGTATTTTTTACGGCGAATAACAGATTTCATTATTATTTTTTCCACAATAACTACGTCATGTTTCTGCTTATCTTTTGCAATGCTGGCCTTTAATTTTAAAGTTGGTAGGGATAGGCCCTCTCTGAGACAAGTTTTTAAATACCAAATGAGACCAAAAAAACGTTTTTTGGGGGACCAAAAAAACGTTGTTTACAAATTTGAGTGCGACTGTACCACACCCAAATCTTACATTGGTGAAACTAGTAGGGAATTAAAGGTCCGTTTCAATGAACATATCTCTGCCATAGCACACAACAATGATAGCTCGGCTGTAGCCGCCCACTGTAATAGTGAAGGCTGTCAGATTGTAAAGGATACTGTCAAAATACTTAGAAAGGAACCAAATACTTATAAAAGAAGATGGTACGAACACTTAGAAATAATTAAAAACAAAGAGAAAATCATGAATAATAACTCTGGCCAAAAATTACATGAATCGTGGTACGCATATTTGACCAGAGGAGGCGTGGGGGGAGGGGAGAGGTGTGAAAACGGATAGGGGTGAGGGTGACAGTCACCCTGGAATGTACTTCGAATCGTCTTCTTACTCTGTTCGTGTTACTGTGAATTTACTTATCATTTTGTTAACAATGTATATTTTTATAACTTTACTGTTTTACCAGTACCTCTGTTTATTATTACGTTATTGCACCAACATTACCGTTTTTAACGAGAAATCTTGTATATCGTATGCTTAATCTTTTAATTAATGTTCAACGCGTCGAACCCACATGTCAAATGTAAGTCCACATTTTTGTTCATTTATGTCAATCACGGCCTTTTTATAAAATTGTTAACCTCCTATTAATTTTTGTAGCAAATAGCTGATGAGGGACTCAATGTCCGAAATGCATTCTGAAAATAAAATAGTGTTTTTCTAAAACTAATTTGATGTCCTGTGGTGGTGTAATAAGTCTAGAAGTAAAGTAAAGCCAATCTTAGCGCTCACTAACCATTAAAAATATACTGTGGGCCACACGTATTTATTTACAACAAAACATATACAATTGTACAGCGTTTTGTATGCATTTAATGTGAAACGTGCTTTTCATTTTTTCACTTAACTTTTTTAATATCAACAGGTATTTTTGACTTTGTACAACATAATTGGTACAGTAGAGCCTCGATTATCCGACTCAATTGGGGACTAGAGTTGGTCAGATAATTGAAAAGTCGAATAACCGAAAAGTATGAAAAAATCCATTATTAGTGTAGTATATTATTATATCCCCTGTATAATAGTATATTAGTATATTAGTATATCGCTATTAACCTACTTCGCTTTGAATTTTCCTCCATGTTAAGCCTATTAAATTTTTTTTAAAAATAATAATTGTCGCTATTGCATCGTAAAAAATTATTCCTTTATTTTGCACAAAATAAATACAGTACTGTACTGTATATTAAAAAATATGTAAAAATATACAGCCAGCTAGTATTCACCCTACTATAAACCTTTCGCCTCCTGTAAGTTTTATAAGAATGTCCCGGGAAATCCAACACTAGCTGTTCTCAAGGTCATTCAGCTGTAAACACAATGACTCATCAGTGTCAAATTTTGCAGAAAGGCGAGACCATGGAAAATAAAGTTTGAAGCTTTTTCTTAAAAAATAACGCATTTCTTTCGTTTTTTTCAGTTTTAAGTACTTTTTATGTTTAATTATAATGTAATTAAAAATTGATCGGAGAGGAAGCGGTTAATTTAAAGAACAACGTCGAATTATATATTTAATATTATCTTATGTCAATAAGATAATGTTAAATATATACTTATAAATTTATAAATATGAAAATCTTTCTTGAAATTCTCTTAGTAGATTAGTAATTTCTTATGCATATTTAGAAAAATGTTTTTGTAACTATTAAATTTATGTAATTTTAAACGATGAATTGTACAGTAGTTTATGAATTTCACTGACTTTCATAATGTTTGCGTTTTGCTGTGAATGCTTGTATATTTTGATAGCTCACTGTGATCAATATGTTTTCACCTTGAAGCTGCTTCTTAAGTTTGTTTAAATTTATTGTGATATTAGTAAGGAAACATAAATCCAAAAGCCATTGTTCATCATATAATTTAGGAACATTGTGGTCCCTTTCATTCATAAAAGTTAAAATATCTTGTCTCAATTTTCAAAAACTTTTATACATTTTTCACGACTTAATTAGCAGAGATAGTTAAACAAAATAACGATATTAAAAATAGCTCAGAGGTCATAGAAATGAAAAGCAGTAACTAACGGTCATCAGATTTTGAAATGACCTACAGAACATAACCGTTACATGAAGCGCCCTTTGGTGGCTGACTATAATCAAATAACTTGCACAGTAAAACGTAATTAAACCCTTTATAAATCTGAACACGGAATGACTTGAAATTTTAAATTTATATGCACGTGTAAATGTGTAATTCTAATTAAATTTTATTATGCTTATTTCCAATAAATTTTAAAAAAACAAAAAAATTTCTTATCGTATATTGAAAACACAAAAGATTGTTGTAACTTGAGAACGTGTCTATGTTTGAAATTTACTACACATATTGTGTAAATATAAGAACAAGTAATTTCATTATACCAAAACACTAATTTAAAAATATTTCTTGTTGTAAACATATTGATTAAATATATATATTTACAGTATGTACTGTACCTACATGTATATTATATGTAATGCATTTGAAGATTTATTAAAAAATATTTAATACTGTTTTAAGGGGGTGTGTCAGAGCTGTCAAGCGTGCGAGTGAACTTTTTTTGAGAGGTTGGTAGAACAAGTTTGGGATGGAAATAACAAAAAATTACGCAATGTGGTATGTACAAATTAGAGCTGTTGACATTAATTTAACATTGGGAATGATTAAAATACTATTAATAATTGCCGGAATTGAAATAAATCCTGGTCCTCTCCCCCGCTCACCACTTCGGTCAAGTCAGTTGGATATGCAAAAAAGGGGGCGGGGTAGACCTAGGAAGGAAAGTCACAAGGATGAAGAAAGGGAAACACAGTTACTGGAAATTTTAAGTGAGGAATACCAAATTGAAGAAAAGGTCGAAAGAAATAATGGGACCCCGAGAAATTCGAAAATTCAGGATTATTTTAAACCGGCAAGAGAAACCGAAAAACAAGGTATTGACGATTCACAATATACGTTAAGATCTATATATGAATTAATTCAGGAAAAATTTTGCCAGTTAAACTTAGAAATTCAATCAATAAAAGCTGAAGTTAATAAGATAAAAGAAGAAAATAATAGTTATAAAGAAGAGATGAAGATAATTGGTTACAAGATACAAAAATTAGAAGAAAATTATAAAAATAACGAAAAGATAAAAGGTATGTTGGAATTCGAATTTGATAAATTGGTAAATGAGACTACAAATAAGAATATAATAATTTTTAATTTTCCGGTTAAAACATGGAACGTTGTTCAAGAAATCAAACAATTTATTAACGAAGAATTAGGTCTAAAAAATATAGAAATTGAAGGACTAGTTCAACTTAAAAATAGTAAGAATAACCTAATAATAAAAGTAATTCTGGAATCTGTAAAAGATAGAAATTTAGTTCTCAAAAGATTTTGGACTTTGAAACCAAAAATTGTTAATGAAACCGAGAAAAAAATAATAATTACAACGGATTTGTGTATTAGATCAAGAATTAGAAGAAAAAAACTACAGGATCAAATTAAAGTGGAAAAAACTACTAAAAATAAAATATTAATAAGAGATGATTACTATATTAAGGATAATATAATATATACAATTGATATGAATACAAACAAGATTCTTCAAATGGATTGTTCTCTTAGAAATACACAGACGATTAAAAAGAACAGGACTGACAAGAGAATCATACCGAATTAAGTTTATATTCCTCTAATAAGAAAACAGTAATTGAAAAAAATTGTAATAAAAGCTTAGTAAAACTGGAAAATAGTAAAGTAAAAGTAAAGGAAAAAATGTTAGTAATGTAATGGTAGTAAAAATATGAGAGAGACTAACAAAAAAAAAAAAAAATTTTCTGTCCAATAGGGTTTTGGTGAATATAGGGTCTTTGTGGGAAAATTATAAAGTCTTACTAAAGAAATTCATAGACCCTAACATTATTGGTTCTACGGAAACCTGTATGATAATTTGAAGTGACAGTTAAAGTTAATAATTAATAAACACTTGATCCTAGTATTTAGTAAAGCAAAAAATGAAGAAACAAGAATAAATTAATCTACTATGTTGAAGTAGCTATCATAAATATGAATTTAATAATGAAAATAAGATCTATGTAATGTAAAAACATTGAGATATTGTAAACGGAATAATGAATAAATTTGAAGTGTATTTAAAACGGGTAAAAAGGTACATACTGAATGTGATGTATAAGTTAAAATATAATTAGATGTAGAAATAAATCTATGTAGATAATCAAGAAATTGTGAAATCCAACCACCCTGATTGTAACAGACGGAAGGCGAATGCTTATCGAAAAGTTAATGTATGTAAAGTTCTAATAATTGTATAAACATCCCCCTTGTAACAGGCTATTGCCTATTACGTTAATAAACATTCTATTCTATTCTATTCTATAATACTGTTTTAATTTCTGATTATACGTGATAAAGTATTATACATCATATTAATGTATATATTTGACTATACATATGCAATTTCAATGTAATAGAAATCTATAAAACATAATTTCTGTTTTATAGAACTGCACAAAATCATTGAGTGGGCCGCAGGTTGGACATCGCTGATCTAGAGAACAGTTAAAAGAAAATTAAGTGAAAATTATAAAGTGTATTTTATATCAATGCACCTATAACCTTATTAAGGCAATCTCTTTGAGTACGAATATGTGAAAGTACTGCTCCTAACTTCGCTGTTCTATTGTTGAGACTACCTACTAGTCATAATGCATGGAAATATATTTAATTTAATTGTCGTTATTTGTTTTTTTTCTTATTATTGTGGAGTTAAATAACAAAGCTACTTATTTTAGTTTTTTGGACGATATCAAACATAGTCTTGCAGTCATTGTAAAGTAATAATTAACTTACAAAAAAATTTTTTACAGAGTAAAATACATGTTGCCGACTTACATTTGCAGCTTGTTTGTAATTAACTGGACAAACAACGAAATTCTTGTCCTTACTTGCAACTTCTTCTTCTTCCATTACTTTAATTTAAATTTAATAATTTAAACATAAGATTTTAAATTTTTCACAAATTTATGCGTTTTACTCCAATTTTGATTAGAAATATAATTTTAAATTAAACGTTTAAATATTTACCTTATGTGTAACACTCGAATATAATTCTACCAATGCTGATCTTCCTATACAAGATGCTGTTGTAGCCGAATTCTGCATTAATAAGCATATACAAATTTTAATGATTACTGTAACATTGTAGTCTGTATATATATTGTGTACATGTCAAAGATAATCATTTATTATATAATATGAATCTACTATGTTTTATGCTTAAGAATTTATGTGATAGTTATTTATAACTGACATTTAACAGAATGTATATGTAATTACAGTTTATTTGTTTACGCAAAATATTCAAAAATTTACACTTCAAAGATTGTGTTCTGTAGATATAAAAACAACTGGTAATTTAAAATATTATAAGAATAATATTTTGAATTACGAATTTGCAGCCAAGTCGAGCTTCCGGTCTTTACCGGGAATTATTAACATAAAAACACACAATAACCGCCAAAAATGAAATTTTACAGGAGAAACAGAAGGGATTTAATACTGCATAGAATAGTGTAAGGTTTTTCCGTGTGAAGATCAATTGAAGGTTGTAATCATGTCATTTCTAGATTACGCACTGACTAACTTCAGTAGAAGAAAACATTTGTTCTTATACGAGGTTTCCCGAGGAATCTGATATGTCAAATTATATACATCTTATTATAAGTATGAGTATAGCCAATTCAACTCGTCTGAGAATTTTTCAATGCACGTGTACTCCAAGGGTCTGCACAATTTAAGTTATTGGTATGTCTACGAAGATATATTCTATAAAAGATTTTTGCTCATCTCTAGATTTCTTTCATAATGAATATACTTGTTTCGAAAACTTGAATATAAATGTCGGCAATATCATAGAAGACAGAATTTAGGCCTGCATCTGTTGTATAAAGAATGTAAGCAATGTGTAAATTATACTTTTTTAAGTATAATGCTAATATGTTATGAAGTAGTGACTATTGTCATCTATTCCCACAAAATGAAACTTTATACGTTTTTAAAATGAAATATGATGACAGATTGTATTAGACACAAAATTTACTTTGTGCTAATGTGTTTCACTCCTTAGTGTTATTCGTCAGAAAAAATTACACAACTCGTTGCTGAAACTTTTACATATTTATTAATATTTAAAATCTTCCAAAACTTACTTGTGTGTCAACTGTCGAACTTGTGTTGTCGTGGCCGAAACAAGATAAATTGAAAATGATCTTTACAAATATTACAAGCGTTGCAAGGTGCGGAAGTGAAATCTAAAAAGTTCAAAAAAGTAAAAATTTATAAAGAATTAAATGAAGAAAATTTCAAAATTTATCATTGAAAGATTAACACTAACGTGTAAAATATTACTCGTATAACTTAGCCTGTAAAGCAACAAAGACAATATCTACTTTCACAGGCATGTCAAGCAAACGAGTTGAAAGTAGACAGGCAGATTTCAACATGTCGACTCGAATCGATACGTATTTCCACATCACATACCTATTAAAAATAGCGAATATAAAATATATCGTATTTGCTCTAATTTTTTCAGGTTTTAAAACCCCATAATAAGAACTCTCTAATGATACAAGCCTTATTGTCTGTCACTAACTCGATTACATCATTTCAATGATTGTATCAAACCAACCTTTGTAACAGCAAATATTTAAGAGATAAAAACTCTGAAACTAACAATTAAATCCAAAATGCTTAATAAATAGTGTGTGCTTCATCTGTTATATGATTTTTTTATTAATTGAAACACCTGTAGGTTTTTCTGCATTTATATGGCGTAAAGTCTGTTATTGAGATTTAGTTACTAAATTGTGTAATTAATAGTAACTTATCGCAAAGATAATGTTTATTTAATTGAATAATAATATTACATTTTTACCATAATTAATGATATTTATTTTGATTTAAAATCATTGCTATTTTAATCTGTACCTATATAAATATAAAAATTATAGNTAAATTAAATGTTTAAATATTTACCTTATGTGTAACACTAATATAATTCTACGAATGCTGGTCTTCCTATGCAAGATGCTTTTGTAGGCGAATTCTGTAATAATAAGAATAAACATATTTTAATGATTACTATAACATTGTAGTCTGTATACAGTATATATTGTGTACATGTCAAAGATAATTATTTCTTATTTAATATGAATCTACTATGTTTTATGCTTAAGAATTTATGTTATAGTTATTTGTAACTGACAAAATATATGTGTAATTACAGTTTATTTATTTACGCAAAATATTCAAAAATTTACACTTCAAAGATCGTGTTCTGTAGATATAAAAACAACTCGTAATTTAAAATATTATAAGAATAATATTTTGAATTAAGAATTTGCATCCAAGTCGAGCTTCCAGTCTTTATCGGGGCTTATTAACATAAGAACATACAGTAACCACCAAAAATGAAATTTTACAGGAGAAACAGAAGGGATTTAATACTGCATAGAATAGTGTAAGGTTTTTCCGTGTGAAGATCAATTGAAGGTCGTAATCATGTCATTTCTAGATTACGCACTGACTAACCTCAGCAGAAGAAAACATTTGTTCTTATACGAGGTTTCCCGAGGAATCTGATATGTCAAATTATATACATCTTATTATAAGTATGAGTATAGCCAATTCAACTCGTCTGAGAATTTTTCAATGCACGTGTACTCCAAAGGGTCTGCACAATTTAAATTATTGGTATGTCTACGAAGATATATTCTATAAAAGATTTTTGCTCATCTCTAGATTTCTTTCATAATGAATATACTTGTTTCGAAAACTTGAATATAAATGTCGGCAATATCATAGAAGACAGAATTTAGGCCTGCATCTGTTTTATAAAGAATGTATGCAATGTGTAAATTATACTTTTTTAAGTATAATGCTAATATGTTATGAAGTAGTGACTATTGTCATCTATTCCCACAAAATGAAACTTTATACGTTTTTAAAATGAAATATGATGACAGATTGTATTAGACACAAAATTTACTTTGTGCTAATGTGTTTCACTCCTTAGTGTTATTCGTCAGAAAAAATTACACAACTCGTTGCTGAAACTTTTACATATTTATTAATATTTAAAATCTTTCAAAACTTACTTGTGTGTCAACTGTCGAACTTGTGTTGTCGTGGCCGAAACAAGATAAATTGAAAATGATCTTTACAAATATTACAAGCGTTGCAAGGTGCGGAAGTGAAATCTAAAAAGTTCAAAAAAGTAAAAATTTATAAAGAATTAAATGAAGAAAATTTCAAAATTTATCATTGAAAGATTAACACTAACGTGTAAAATATTACTCGTATAACTTAGCCTGTAAAGCAACAAAGACAATATCTACTTTCACAGGCATGTCAAGCAAACGAGTTGAAAGTAGACAGGCAGATTTCAACATGTCGACTCGAATCGATACGTATTTCCACATCACATACCTATTAAAAATAGCGAATATAAAATATATCGTATTTGCTCTAATTTTTTCAGGTTTTAAAACCCCATAATAAGAACTCTCTAATGATACAAGCCTTATTGTCTGTCACTAACTCGATTACATCATTTCAATGATTGTATCAAACCAACCTTTGTAACAGCAAATATTTAAGAGATAAAAACTCTGAAACTAACAATTAAATCCAAAATGCTTAATAAATAGTGTGTGCTTCATCTGTTATATGATTTTTTTATTAATTGAAACACCTGTAGGTTTTTCTGCATTTATATGGCGTAAAGTCTGTTATTGAGATTTAGTTACTAAATTGTGTAATTAATAGTAACTTATCGCAAAGATAATGTTTATTTAATTGAATAATAATATTACATTTTTACCATAATTAATGATATTTATTTTGATTTAAAATCATTGCTATTTTAATCTGTACCTATATAAATATAAAAAGTTATAGTCTAATTAATAAAAATGTTATTAAATCTATCGAATATTTACCTGTTCTAAGTTACTTTTATCGGTTTGTTAATCCGGCTGATAATATACTTGTATTGAAAGTTACATCAGCAATTTTCCATTTATTCACTTTCTACCTGGATCCAGCACAACAGAAAAGTTTTTAAATGATTCATTCTAGAAGTGTAGAGTATTTCATAACAATGCGCAATCAAGTTGTTTCTCTTCGGGAAATTTTACTGATAAGATTATTAATCATTTATCCCTGAACACCTACTTGTAGCAAAGGTCGTGTATTGATAATATGCAGATTCATGAGAAAACATTGAGAGATGACTGCATTCTATTTACACTCAGACTTTGGTGCATGCTATAGCAAATAAACTGGCGTATAAAATGTATTTACTACTGTTTAAATACAGCGTAACTGCATCGACGTCATAACTAAATCCTGTGACATTATTTTATAATATTGAATGTATCGTTGATCGAAGAACACGAAGCTTTTTTAAATACATTCAGTCAGTAGATTGTAACATTACTATGAGAACACATGTAATCACTATAAAAATACATCTGTATTGATCATTGTCTTCCTGTCAACTAAATAACAGGTGAGATCCTCTACCTGTAGTAAAAGGAGCAATCTGCTTAAAGCACGGAGAGAACTTTACACAATTCGAAAATGAAACTATATTTTAACCATGAAATGTTCTACTGTTACGTTGCAATACTTTGATAAAATTGTAAAATACATAACTTGATAAGTGTAAATAAGCTACAACCGTGTTTAAGTGCTAATCTTGCTTATTGTCTCATAGTCAGAGGAGTGTTAACCATACTATTATCATATATTTGATAAGTAATTAATATTCTATATACGTCTTCGTGAATAAAGAAAATTAATATTTATCTTCGGTAGTGTATTTAACTAAATAGTTCTATTTTTCAATCGGTGAAAAACACAAGTGAACATTATTTTAATTAATTTCTTTTGTTTATTTTTCTTTACATTTTATTAAAAAATTTAAAACAAATACGCAAATTCTATATAAGGTTTTTATTTCCTAATTGTATTATCAGTTCACACATATAACTAATTTTACGATAAAAAAAAACGACCAATATATCAATTTATACTTTCTAATTATTTCATTTTTTGCATGTTATTTAGAAGCTCAGGTATAATTTTTATATTATTTTCTAATCATATCCAGTTATTTTACTAATCCATATAAATGAAAATGGAATTTCCTATTCTGTATAAAAGATTAAGGTGACAATTTACATGCTTTCAGATTATTTTCCGTCATTTTTAACCTTTATATAACGTTGATTTTCAATATATCATTGTTGAACAATATCAATTTTTCACAATTAATTTTGATGTCGTTAGGTTAAATTTATTTATAAAGCAAATATCCAAATAGTTTTTAATATGTTTATCTCACTTGATTTCACTGAACTTCATACTTTTTTTACGTGCAGTTTCGTGTATTTTATTTTTTTTATTTCGTATGTGTTTGATAATCGCCTTATATTTAACGTGTGAGGATCAAAAATTTTGTGTTATAAACCTTAATCTTTTATAAATTTTAATTAAACTTTAAATGCAATTCTATAAAGACGGAACAAGTTTTAAAAACAAGGGCTGGTTTTACGGAAATTCAACCGAAAAACTTTTCGATAAAATCAATTCGAAACTCAATACTCACGAGTTGGGTTCCTTGGGAAGGCCCGAAAGGAGCACTTCATATAAAAAGGTAGACACGATGAGTAAGATCGAGGAAGTTATGATTTGATTGTGTGTGTGTGTGTGTGTGTGTGCTTCACGTCTACCTACCGCCGAGAATGTCTTTGAGAGACTGTTCCTGTTCGTCAATCTCCTCGCCTACTGAACTCTAAGACCTCAACAACTCACCTACTTAACTTCGAAGAGAACTGTTCCGGAATGTAAAAGGATTTGGGACTTTATTACTCGATTCACAGTATAACATAAGGTATTTATCCTGCCGGCGCATTATTGTACGCTGTCTCTCTCTCTCTCGTTAAAACCTGATAGCGAATGCGATTGTAAATCAATGCAGAACGCGATTCAAGTAGCTTACATTTAGCACAATACTAACTTTTGTATACTTAAATGAATTATGATGTATAAAATAACTTAGATATATTTTAAATAAACAGTTATTTATGTTATAAACATTTCAGAGTGCTCTTCTTCCGTCCTTCTCTCCGTTCACTCCATTCCGGGTCCTCATACGTAACCGCTCGCGCAAACTTGTTGTCTATATACCAACCTAACGATACAGTGGTGTCATCCTGACGTGGTATCGAAGAAGAGATACCGGCCCAACGGTCACAAACGTATTGTCGAAACATTAATTAAAGTGTTTGATAATTCAGTTAATTACAACATCAAGTTGATCATCTTTAATTGCAATTTAATACTTTTGTAAAATCTATAAATCTCTACATTCGAAATATAATTTATAACAATGTAAAGATTCGTGTTTACCGTACTGTTTAATTATTAACAAACAATAGAAATTTCAGCTTCATTTCTATTCACAAAGAGTACAACAATTGAATTTAATATATTTTTTGCGCATTATTTGACAGGAAAACTACACTTTACAATCCTGTAACACTGCGAAACAGGCGTAAATATCTTCAAAAATACAATTTGAAACATAAAACTTATATTATGTATATAACAGTATATTGTGCAATCAGTTTATAACACAAATTATAAACTAATTGCAATTACGCAAAATAACATTACTGGAAGTTTGGCACACGAGCGGACCGAATAAGACAATTTCCATGAATGCCATAATCGCTAATTGTAAATGAATTATTGTGCAGTATTTCGTGGTTAGACTACACCTATAACAGTACAGTTGAACCCTCTATAACACTGTTGATAAATACGTTTTATATAAATTCCATGTTATACGAGTCGCTTAGATTTTACAAATACGTGAGCCGTTCACAGCCCGGCACACGTATTTGTAAAATTTAAGTGACTCGTACAACATGGAATTCATATAAAATTGAATTATTTACAGTGTTACAGGGGGGTCAACTGTATATTGCTAGAACTTCAAAATAATATATAAACAGAGGGTTTATACATAATTTCCATTTTCATAATTATCGTGTTATAGATGTAGTCAACCACAAATACAATTATTTAACTTTCTTATAAATTATAATCTCACAAAAATGTTTCAACCGACCTCACACAACGTTTAACAATTCAGTGTATCTATTTCAATTTGTGGAAATTAGTCACTGATAAATACGTGTAATATCATAAATAAAGGTTACACGATTCTTTTATAAAAAAAAACTTAATATATATTTTAAAAGAATTCTACATTATTGCACATTTTAATTTCAATTTACTGGCAGACTGAAATAAGATACGATCGCGTAAAGTTTCGTATTGCTCCAATGAGAGGATGTAACTGTTAGATTGTTCCAAATCGTCGACAGTTTCCAATGCAACCAACTTCTCGTTTTCACTTATTTTTAACAATTCCTGGATTTCAGACGAATTTACATATCACAGGGATTGAAAATAGAATTTAGGCCTGCTTCTGTTGTATAAAGAATGTAAGCAATGTGTAAATTATTCTTTAACATATTTAAGAATAATGGTAAAATTGCATATTACAGTACTGTGTAATCAAATATGCTTTTTATCGCTTGACCACTGGAAGGTCACGAAGTGTGGAAGAAGTTACGGCTGAACGTATCCAATAATTCTCAACGAGAAGGGGTCTTACTGTACTTCATCAATTAAAATTGTACACGGAATTTGTATGATAATAATGTACATAAACTTTTACATTTAATAATACTTATTAAATTTAATATTAGGCTAATCGTATAAATATTCGATATTTCTCGAAGTTAAGCGTTTTTTCACTAATTTAAAATTGTGTGTAAGCACGTATAAAATCATTTCGATAAAAATCTTTTACATTGAGTATACGGTAGACTAATGTACTGTGGAATGTAGTTTCTTATATATGTTATGAAGTAGTGACTATTGTCATCTACTTTCACAAAATGAAACTTTATACGTTTTTAAAATGAAATATGATGACAGATTGTATTAGACAAAAAATTTACTTTGTGCTAATGTGTTTCACTCCTTTGTGTTATTCGTGAGAAAAAAATTACGCAACTCGTTGCTGAAACTTTTACATATTTATTAATATTTAAAATCTTTCAAAACTTACTTGTGTGTCAACTGTCGAACTTGTGTTGTCGTGGCCAAAACAAAATAAATTGAAAATGATCTTTACAAATATTACAAGCGTTGCAAGGTGCGAAAGTGAAATCAAAAAGTTCAAAAAAGTAAAAAGTTATGAAGAATTATATGAAGAATTTATCGTTGAATGTTACTCGTATAAGTTAGCCTATAAAGCAGGGGTGGCCAACATGAGGCCCGCCGGGAGTCGTGTTGCGGCCCGCGGAGCTAGGTCAAATGAACATAAATGTTAACTTTATTGTACATATCACCAAATGAACATTAGAAGAGTTAAGAAGGTTTGGAAGAGTTCTATGAAACGTATTTGGACAAGGATAAATATCTTGCGTTTTACAAACATTCTCTGTCAATGGTTTCGCTATTTGGAAACACTTATGCGTGTGAACAACTTTTTAGTCGTATGAAGTACATCAAATCACAAGTGAGAACACGAATTACTGATGTTCATTTGGAAAACTGTTTGCGTGTAGCGACTACATCAGTCCAGATCAATTTTGATGCACTTACTTGTTAGTTCTGTAAAACAAAGTCAGATGTCTCACTTTTAAATATTTTTAAATTGTCTAATAAATATGTTTCTCGGTTATTAAATAAATGATTCTCGGTTATGTTTTATTTTCTTCAAAAAAATAAATATACCTAT